TAAAAAGAAAAAGAATTTTAAAAAATTAAAAAAAACTTATTGTTGGATATGTTCAAACGGAGTAATAATCGAAGTAACGAAATAATGATAATAATGGATAATCATTCAATAATATCTAATAATATATCTTAGTACAGCAGTTGGACGAACCGGCTGCTCATTAACTACACATCTTTTAGCGGTAGCAGTACAATCACAAAGCGTCGCCGGTTAAGGCACTTTCTTCGCTTCCTATCACAAGCGTTGTTGCATATTTCGTTATTTGCTAAATCGTGTGATGGACGGCGTTAAAAGCGAGATGGGCTAATCAAGGCCTAGATTGATACGGTTAGTATCATTTAAAGAAGAGATTTTGAACGTATAGGTGGACCAGCAATATATGGACTTAGATGATGGAAAAAGAAATGGCTTCTATTACTGTCGATGATGGCATCAGATTGCGCAACTTGGAATTGTCGTCCCTTGTAGCCAGTGGAGCCAACTTAACCAGCAATGATGAGAAGAAGAAAGAAGTACCGCTTGTCGATTCGGCTAAAAAAAATCAATCCATTTTTATTCAAACGAAGCTAAAATAATATGTCGAATTTCCTTAGAAGCGAACTAAAAACCTATAAAAACTATTATTACAAGGAATCGAAATAAACTAAATGAAATTGAACAATCAACATCGACAAATATGCGTTTAAAAATGAAAAAAATGGCTGAATCGCTGCTCGATTCGATATCATATCTATAATAGAAGCCATTCGTTTTTTCATTATCTAAACCCATATATCACTGCAACATCCATATTTTCAGTTCGACACCATTTTTCACAGATTTTAATAAGCGAGATATGGTCCCTGCAATATCAGTTCTTGTAATGTTACGAATAGTGAAAGATCTACAAGATATGATAACGAATCAAAATTTTAGAAAAATAATACCACAACATACCGTAAGCCTATTAATAAAACTGAAGATTTTCTTATTAAAATGTACAAAACATTCGTCCGGCTAATCTGTGATATCGTAAATCATATCGTAAGTAAAATAATTGGACTCCAAAAATATTTTATACGGCGCTTCTCTCCTAATTTAATTATAAATGAAAACTTCTATCGTCGTATTAAACAATTAAACAAGATTTAATTTATACTTATAAGATTTTGTATAGTTATGTTAAACTAGATTATTCAAAATATAATTTTAGGTTAAATTTAAATCCAACAAGAACTAATGGGCTAAAATTACTAAAACCTATGTGTAAAACTAAACTAAGAACCCATGACTTCTTTATTCGTACCATTAATTACTGGAATAAATTACCAAACGATATAGCTTGTGCGCCATCCCCAGCTATCTTTAAAAAAAGATTATATAATATCATTTATGATATTATTTAAAAAGTTCACATCATGCAGGATGGGTGAAATTTCGATTTTTGCTGTCCGATTATAGTTATTTCGAATTGTACTATATTATTCGGCAATTTATTTTGTAATTTCCTCTTTAAATTTTTTTTGTCATATTTTCTTTTTTTCTTATTATTAATTTTTATTAATTATTATTAATGCAAGTACATGGCGTTTGCGCCCTGCTTGGCTGGTTTTCAATAAATAAATAAACACAAAGAACAAATTAAAATACAGTAAGTGGACTGGTTCTACCGATTGCTGAAACCTCTTTCGCTAGTGAAACAATTGCAATAGAGATAAGATTGGTGAGCATCAAAAACTTTTGCAAAAATTTTAGCCAGATTCTATAATTCCAATTCGTCTGACAATTATTATTTGTAAATAAATGATACTTTTAATAATGTAATGTTAAGGAATTTGAAATCGACTTTCAAATGGATTTGAATCGCATTTGATTTAATAATAAAATAAATAAATCATTTATCTCCAATGTCTTTTTATTTACTGCTGAAAATTCCCGTAACAAGCTATGGCCGTTATAAACAAAATTCACACCATATTTCAATAAGATCACATTGATTGTTCTGACCTTTTATCCTTATTGTTTAAAGTTCCAAAATCCAGTGGCTAAAATCCAGTGGTGAAATATAATCCGAGTTATATTTGATGATTAATACGAATGACACACTTCACTGGTACCTTCTGTAGTATAACAAATTATAGCAATTTAATAATTCCATGAAAATCTTTAAAAAAGTTTTTCGATAAAATCTATAAGATTTTAGGATATATATTAAGATATATGAACTTAGTAAAATTGAGTGTTTCTTTTGAATTTATTGTAAATCTTAAATTATTGCTTACTCGACGCTTAGGCTTAGGCAATATACGATTATGAAGAGATGATCGCTGATCATGTGATGGTGAAAAAAATGCGCAACAAATTTAATTATATTTAATATGATTATCCAAGTTTGAGAGTACTCATCATTGCTGGTTGGACCTGCTGCATTGGTTTGTCGGACTTGTCCAAACAAAGAATGAAAATAAATAAATATATGAATATATATAATTATATATATATATAAATATAAATCACAATAATATTATAAAATAAATAATATTATGCAATCAATATTTATATCTATCTTTGATATTTATATCTATCTTTGACAGAAGGAAACCTGTCGTGCCAAAAATCCGGGTAATTGCTGGGAACTTACCTATAGCTCTATCTCCAAGTGATTCTATGGTGAAAGAGTCAGATGTTCTCGATACGCCGTCCGCATATGATACTCCTAGCCTTGTGATAAGTATACAATCCGGGCGTAAAGCGATCCCAAGGATGATAAATAAAATGTACTCGTAATTGCTCGAAATCTGTCAAGGGGAAACCTGTCAAACAGCTGTGTGCGTGCGCGGTAAGGTATTAGCCATATTAGCGTGGAACATCAGAATACTTATGGACGATGCAAGTCAAGCAATCACTTTTTATACCCTTTCTAAATATCGTGTGAAAGGCGTCAGCTTGTCGGAGGTCTTTCTTCCTCATTTCTGATCTCGAGTATTTGCTAATCCTAGCTCGGGCAGAAATGCTGGTGCTTCGAATAACTCGAGGCAAAATGGCGTGGCAGTTGTAGCAGTTGACAAAGCCCATTCGCTCTGATTGAATGGAAACCGGTAAGCGACCGTATGGCCTATGCCTATTTTAAACGTTGGAAGAGTTCCATATTTGATAGTCGTTCCTATCGCGGCGCTGAAAAACCGGCAATCTTCATGGATCTGACCATGTTATGATTCAAGCCAAGATCCGCATAGAATTGACAACTTGCAAAAAACCATCTCCCAAGATCCTTCAACTATCTCAAACTAAAAAATTCGGCGACAGTGAGCGCATTTCAAACTAAATTATTGAAGCATCTCAATGATGCCAAAATCAATGACTTATCTGGAACGGTAAATGAATACTGGTCCAAACTAAAAGAATGCTTCTGAAAATGTCAACCACTTCCACGTTAAGGCATAGTAGTAAAAGATGTTTTAGTTGGGTGTCGGAAGTAACCGTCCAATTGGAAAAAACTGCCAAAGTATGAATGTCAGGTGATCCTGTCTACCGGATGCTTCGAAGATTTGCAACAAAAGCAGCAAGACGAGACAGAAATCATTGGAGTGACATGGCCTCAAGAATGGAGGCGGTGGCTCGATTAGGCGATAATAAGAAACTATACCGTCTTCTTCATAAAGCAACTATAATTTGGGGAACGATCAGTGAAATAATAAGAGACAGCAAAGTCATGCCCATCAAGAGCATTAAGAACCGCCTCATGAGATGGAAAGAACAAATTTAACTATGAAGCACCATCTGTTGCCTCTGATACCGCAGATATGAACCGTTATCGCTATAAGAAATTAAGATTTTAAATGATGCAAACAACGAGTAGTAATATATTTTTTGATAATAATTAGTATTATTTAATAATAATTCACAATTTATACCATTTTTCCGTAAATTATCATTCATTTTGAATAGAAGAAATTAAATTTACCATTAGCAGACGTCTTTTTCAAGATGAAAATGCATATTGTAGAGCAAGCAATATTCCATTATAGAGCAGAAAATATTTTATTCAAAATGTTAATAAAAAATGAAAAGATTTCAATAAAAACCTTGGAAATCTTATGGTTAATCTACTGAATTTGTACGAAAATAATCAAAATTTTCCCAGATGAATTTTACATTTTGCGAGATTTTAATGTAGCAGATACAAATAAATATGTTAATATAGATAGAATTAATATGGAATATATATATTTATATAAAATATATTATTTATTGAGAATATGTGGCTTGGATTCTCTAAGCAAGTAGCAGGCAGGAATCAGAAATCAGGACTGGTGACAGTAGTACCAAGTGAGAAGAGAAAAAGAGAAAAGAGAAGAAGGAATACGAGAAGTTAGAGAAAAAACCATGCGCTGAAAGAGGAAGATGTGGAAACTGAAGGCCAAACTAATTCAGATAATAATTAGAGCACTTGGAACTATAGCCCTCAAAGTAGAAAAATGGCTTCAGTAGATTCAAAGAACAACAACATCAAGACGTTTGTCCAGAAGAAAGCGAGAAACAGCCAAGATATAGCGCAAAGCCCTCAATCGCCTGATAGAGGACTTTGAGGATCACCCTTACCGCCCACAGGGATTGAGCAACATTTTTACATATACAAAATTGGACTATGGCCTAAGAAGAATTTTTATATACACATTCACATCTACAATATTACACGCTTATGGACCTTATGGAAAATTTATGGATTATTCGGATATTTCATATTTATGGATAATGTTAATTTTTTTTGGACCATTACCAAGAATATCGTTTGTATCGTGTTAATAAAATAATGGACAGCACTTTGCTAGCAAAATAGGCGATAAAATGAAAAATATTCTTTCGGAAAAGCATTAAATATACAATAAATAAAATAAAAACAAAATCGATATTGAAAATATTTTTATTAATTATTTAGGCAAGCAATTCAGGCAGATTTACTTAATTAGCTTGACAAAATTATTTTCCAGCTTTATTTATTTTGTTTGATTCAATAAATTTTATAGTAATAGATCACTGCTTACAACTGATTCAGAAGATAAGTACATAATTTTCGAAGCTGAGCCAATAAGCTGATGATCGTTCATTGAGTTTGCAGCCAGGCTGACACTATTTACTATTTCAGCACCACAGAAAAAGTCTTCCTTTGGTGAAGGTGCATCATCATAACAGTGATCAACAATACATAAGCTTACCTAAAATTGATTTTTAGATTGGAAACTAATTATTTTTGCAAAACTGATATAAGTTACATAGTGATTTTTCAATATTTCGTTTTAAAAATAAGCTATTTGTTTGATTTTCAACTAAAAATTGTAAATTATGGGCTATTCGACGAAATTTCTAATATGTCCAACCAAAATGCCTGAATACCTGAAGAAATTAACAAGAAATTGCTTACCGCAAGATTCTTGTCGACCAAGAAATTACATTCGAAATCATCATCATCATCTCCGAATGGATTCAGAAGATTCAACGCGACTTTCATCCAACCGACATAGAACACAAATTGTACCATTGTCATGACTGGTGATACTAGATCGGCCTAAAACCACAATTTTGTCCTCCATCTGCAATTCCCGTCTCCAGCATTTTAAAATAGCTCTCATAGTAGACATTAATAAAGAAAATAAGGCTTCTTACATAGCCATAATGTGAATTATTTAATCTGATAAATTGGCGCGAAATAAGGCAGACTCCAAAGTAGAAATAGACGGCAGTACAAATCATCTGTAAAACTAATGTAGAAAAATCTTTAACATAAAGAATTATTAATTGGCGAATCAGCACACCACTATTCCTACATTGAGAAAATAGTGCAGTGTAAGAAACGAAGTCCATCTTAGAGGCTTAGATAGGCTTTGACCGTGAATCCATCGTCTTTGACGGAAATAAGCTCTGCGATTAAAAGAAATATCCGAATAGCACCTAGAATTTATCTGCATTTCTATCAATAACTCTCTGGCAAAAAAAGAAGTCTACCAAACTAGAAATGGCGAATATTGTTTGAAAAAGAAGAATATACTTGAGGATAGGCAAGCGGTAATGGAATCCAATTATAATTCCATATCAACTGTAAATTCCTTTCGAACGCAATCATTTGCTAGAAATAGCTTTATTTGAAATTTTTTCAATCGAACTTTTTTGCATATTTGTGCACTTGTAGTGCTTCGCATTACCACAAATTTTTGGGGGAATGTTAAACCCAATTAGACAGAATAGATCAAAATCATGAATTTTTCCTTTAAAAAAAATAAATACGTCATATAATCCGTTCATCAACATGTCGGATGCAATTTTATCTCGCTTTCTCATATTAATAATTCTGCTACTCGCCCAACTAAATGGGATCCAATATTGATTATAGTCTGATTTGATTGATTCCAGTCTTTGCTTTTCATGGTCTAACATATAACCTAGATATAAAGCATAAAGGTATATATTTTGATTTAGTTAACTTTAGAAAAATCAGAAGATCAGTTAAAATGAAGAAAAAAATGAAGACTCATCAAATTTAATGAATTTCTCTCAGGAATTTTCCCCGTAATTTTTAGATCCGGCGATAACTGTCTAAAAATTTTTTACAAATACCTGCTCGAACGATGCTATCCAGAGTAGGAAATCTCTTTCTGATGTCCACACTTATATCTCGAAAGACAAGTATTTGTGCAAGGCATATATATCTAACAATTGATCTCCTTACCATCCTTGTTTCTTCATCGTCTCCACGTATAAAATTACTGACATATATTGCGAAACTAAAGATTTTCAAAGTAATTCGCTTTATAATCTGAATTTAATCTGAACTGCAAATTTCGAGACTATCTATACTCAAAGTAGAAAACCAAAAACTCCAGAAAATCGAAGAAATATGAGTCGAATCAAAGCCTTTTAAGAGGACCCACCTTTCAATATATCCCATATTTTTGATAACTTCATCCCATCGTACTGCTATATTGCTTACAAAGAACCCAAGTATAAATGTAAGATTTATCGAGTTAAGATATGTATCAAAATAGTTGGCCAATTTTTCGATTAAACTAAAAAATTGCCAAATCAATTAATCTTAAAAATTTTGCATGTTTCATATGAAATGTTAAATTTTTCAGTGATATTAATTTCAGCTTTTTTCAGTGAATAATTAAACAGTTGAAAATCTTTTTTTTTATCAATTTTTTATCAATTTGCAAGAAAAATGGTTGAAACATAAAAAGTAATTAAATTTTTTTAATAAATCATAAAAAATTTAATCGTTCTTATTGCAATAATTTAAGAACGTTCTCAATTGAAATCAAGATATCACTGAAAAAATATCAGTCACAAAACACTCGAGATACTTATTCACCGCCAGTCATAACATCTCATTTGCCTTTTTCTAAGTAGATGGCCAACGCTAGTTAACTATTTCTGATTACTTTTGGCAATACACATCTACACATCTTTATAAAAAAAAAAATATGAAATTACAATAATAAAAATAAAATTACAATAAAATCTTACAATTTCTGATTTTGTGTCAGAAAAAATGGCGTTCGGAAGATAAATGAAATGCCAAAGAATGCAATTATCCATACAAACAATTCTTTTATGACAATCTTCCAAATACTTGCTTTCCAACGAAAAAGTAATTTGAAAAATGCCCGCCAAGATGCTAATGATACGTCCTGTTGATAGGAAATTGTCATTTTTGCAATAATACTTAATGGCTATATTGTCGAATTCTTTGTGTTGGTAATATTCTCCGCCAATTGATAAATAATTCCATAAATATGACCCCTATAATTTTGCCCAAAATAACAAAATGTTAAATATGAAAATGAATCAATCGCGTAAACAAAATTAACTGTCATGTTTCAGAAATGTTCGAAATAAATAACGGAATTCGAAAAAAGTTGATTTTTCTAAAAATAAAAGAGATAAAAAACCTTTGGCCATATTTACAAATCTTTAGAAAATCTTTGATAGCAAATAGTAGAGTGGTTGTTATTCAGATTATCGCATTATAATTTCAGCCCTTCCTCCGACAGGAATAAACCTATGAGCGAAAATCCTGGGTGATGCTGCATATCCACTCTTCTGTTTGCAGTTAACTACTTGACAAAGATCTACCGTGTTAACAATATTTATTTTAAATTTATTAGACAATAAATTTTTTTTAAATTTCTAAATTCCTGAGGATAAAAATCATCAATGAAATGCTTTCGAGTAAGTTAGTTTCGAAATATTTATCTTTACATTGAGTTAGAATGAATTAGTTAGAGCAGCGATGTTCGCAATCTTACGAAAAATTGTGAACATTCGGTAGTATAAAGAGCAAAAACTCGTAATGGAGATATGACTATAAAGATTGTTATAATTACGATAATTCTAGTAAATAAATTAGCAAATTTCGGATTAAATAACAATGATTTACCAAATTGACTGCAAGAAATGATAAATATAAAAAATTTTTATGCATTCTCTGGACCCCTTAAGATCAAATAGAAATATTTTTAAGAAACATACGGTCCGAGTAATGCTGGGGTTCTTCAATTTCCAATGTGGCTCTTTGCCTAAGTGCCATCCTAGCGGTGAATTAAATTAGCTATAAAACAAAAAATATCACATAATATTTTGAAATACATAGTATTAGAAACATGAACTAGCTTGAAGCTTCTATTTTACCACTTTGATCGAAATTATACTAAATCAATCATTAACCATTGTGAAAAAATGGAAAAGTTACACAGCTGATATATGATCGATGTACAGTGATTGCAGTGATAATGATAATAACTGATATGTAAAAATAGAGAAAATTGTAAAAAATTAGCAAATCCTTAAAATGAATCAATGAGATGATAAAAAACATTTTAAAACGAATTTGCAAAATCAATGAAAGAGAAAAGCCCCCAATAAATCATGATGAAATTGAACCAGTTAACCAGTTACGCATCAGTAAAATTTTCATTTCTTGTTTTAGCGCTCTCCATCTTTGATTTGCTTCACTCCGCTGGTTGTTAATACGATGAAAACTTTGCTAAGTTGGAGACAGAAATACAGGTGGATTGCTAAAATTACTGGATTTTTCAATGATAACTCCTGACGAAAACAGAATCTAAATGCTGACATTCGAAGTGATCATCCGAAGCCACTCGGCTACTTTATTTCTTATCATCATTATCATTATCGCTAAAATTTTGGTAAAGAAGAAAGAAATATGAAAGTTTAAAAACAATTTTTGCCCAAAATCTGTTCAGTTGGTTATTTCAATTGCAATCAAATAATTGATGTTTTCTTTAAGTGAAAAAAATTTTTCTCAAAAGGCCATTACACATTCATAAGAAGTCACATTCTTCTTTCATAACGATTCGTAAGAAAAAAAATTCGTGGATATGGAAAAATGAGCGAAGATGTATTGCGAATGAATATATTTAAAACAATATTTAAGAAAAATTTTTCCGATTATTAGAATTGTAGAAAAATGGAATTCAAATTGTTTTTCAGCTAATTTTGCTCTTACAATAAACGAAAAATAAAGTGAATAATAAATGAACAACATTGGGAAAATCAGCCTCTTTTATTTACAGAATAAATAAGTGGTTATTGCTCATCATTTTTGTCAAATTAACTCAGTGACTATTGGCACAATCAGAAATTTTTCGACTATTAGTACAAAATTTTACAGGTATGCACCATTACTATCATCCGCATTTTCCAGTGACAGATTAACTCATGCTGGATTTTGCAGATAAGTCACCAACGATACCCATGTTGGAGCTGTGAGCAAAACTCTTCCCTCTCGGTACGTATGATGCTCTTGATCGTTCCCTTACAGAATGTGGATAAGCCGAAAATATTTTTCTTGAAACTAGATTAATAATTAATCTATAATTGTCTGTAATCTATAATAATTAATCTATAATTGTCGCCTATTGCTTTTTCTGATCCAGTACTTCTTATAAAATTCTATTTCTGGTTTACTTTGGTTGATTACCTTGTCTAGGAATCACTTGGAGTGTCATTTAGAGGTAAGACGGTCCTCAACACCATTCTGTTTTCGCTTTTAGTGACAGATTTATCACTTAACATCGCCCTTCTAATAAAATGGAATTTATCGCTGAAAAATTATGGCTATTTATATTAGGTTATTATTTTTTGGTATTATTGGTATTATCGATTATTATTTTTTATTTATTTTTATTATTGGATATAAATGGACGAGAGGAAACGATTTTTTCTAGTTTAAACGATTTAACGATTTAAAATTCTTTTAGGCCATTCGAAGTTTTGAAGCAAATTGATTTCGAATTCACGTGCGAGAATTCATCCACTTATAAAGATTTCCCGCTTCTTGGCTTTTTTTCGTTTTTTTATGAAAATTTTGTGAAAATTTTAATTATATTAACATTTTCTATTTCTAATCCTATTTGTCGCTAAATTCTTTTAAAATAACCGAAAAGTGATTTTTTTAATTATGGTTTTATGCCTATAATGCACATAAATTATCTCGATTATCATATCTTTTGTGAATGATAAATGAAAGTTCTTTTCTCAAATTTTGTGAAAGACTTATAAAATAAAATAATTTATAAATTATTTTTTCATAAATTTCAGTTATAAATAAATTATCAAATTTTTCATCATTCTGAATAATATTAGATAAATTATTATTATTATTATCATTATTGCTATTTATATTATTATCATTCATTATTATCATTATTGCCATCTATTATTATTGTTGTTATTATTACAATTTTTGTTGGCCATTTTCATCGCGTTAAAAGTAATGGTATATATCACCGTTCTTAGACCCCATCTTATTCTTATCAATCGCACCATTAATAAATAGATTGGCTTGCTAGCAATAGGCTCATTATTATTATTATCCTTTATTACCATTATCAGTACTATTATTATTAATTGTAATATTTTTTGTTTTTTCAGGTATTTAGATATGTCTTTTTATCTTTTTTTTCCACTATCCCCTTTAAATTTCTTTTTTAGTTAAATAGCACAAATAATAAAAGTAAAAAGAGATCAATAATATTGAAAAAAATTGAAAAGAAAAAATATTTTGTTGCTTATTATTTTTTATTTTTGTTTTATTTTTTTCTTTACAAAGACGAGTGGATAATTTAAATATTTTAAATATTTTTACACTTTCCATTATAATTTCACTTTTTGTACCTTCTACAGTCTTTAAGCTTTGGAGTAAAAATAAAACTTTTGTTGGTTTAATCAAAAGTTGGAATTTTTTATTTTGTTATTTATTATTTTCTTCGTTTTTTTATAGACTTATAATAATTTTGCAGTTATTTCCTAAATGGCTCTCTGGCAAAAGATTCATACAAATCTCATCAATATTGCAACGCGTATTTGACATCTAACTTAATGAGGCATACGATAAATATGCGAACTGCGCTTGGAAATTAAAAAAAAAAAAAAACGGTTATATGTTTGGAGCTAAGAAAAATGCCAAGAAAGTCAAGAAAGTCGGGAAAATGTGCGCCGGTGTCAGCCGACTCAATGCTCATGTGCTGAGAATCTGGTCGTAGTGAGGTGAGCACGTGTATGGATGTGAGGAGCCATGTCGCAATCTTCACTTTATCCAAATATTATGTGCTTGCTAGTCAGACACTCTTTTTTCTAATTCTAAATTAAGGGCAGCAACTATATCCTGATTCAGATAAGAAATACTGGTTGAATCACAGTGATGTTTCAGACAACTCGGGAGAATTGGAGAATTGAATTGGAAACGGCGCGTTCTGTCATCGCTTGGAATTCCTTTAATGATCGGTTGATCCCCGGCTTTTAAGCCGAGTGATGAGAATTAAGATGATGAAGATATTTTATGTTGAAAGATTCAGGGACAGTTGGTATAATCTGTGATACTGACGCACTTAAAGGACTTTGACAAGGGCATCTCTGGAACTTCAGATTATCTTATGCTTCCAGAATCGAGTTAAATCTGCCATAGAATAGACGATTCGGAAGGAAATAAGCTAAATAAAATCCAGCTATCTGATCGTGCGAGCAGAGCGTAAGTGCTAGATATTTAGTAGATCTACAAGTGCAACACCTCAGTGAAACGGGCAGATATAGATATTGGAATAATATGATCTAGAATAGAAGCACAAGTATGTGATCATCGCAAATTATCCCGCCTCTTTTGTAAATCATCAGCTCGAGAAATGGTTATTAATGCTTAGTTGGAAATGGATATGACCCGAAATAATGATGGAAATACCGTAAAGAGCTTCTCTTTCTTGATCTTTATTACTTTATTACTAGTGATATTGTTATTTATTTTCTTACTATTATTTTATTATCATTATCACTAAGATTATAAAACATACGATTTGTAGATGGATTTATTAATCAACTAAAAGAATTTTTAAATGAGCAAATTAAATATTTTTTAATCGAATCGGGACGAAGCTGGCCAGAAATAAAAATAATATTGCTGAAATAAAATTTTACAAATGCATTTTTTCTCTATAAATGTATAAAGCATCGCTTGTCTCCTTTGAAAAATCCATAATAATAACGAACCATAAACATTGTAAAAAAATTTTGGTGACAAAGCAATGAACCGAGTGGCGATTCACATTGATATTGGTCCACATTATCAAATTTAAACTACCATAATGGAGCTTAGAGGAACATCAAATGAATCCAAAAACCTAATTCACGAACAAAG